GGGAACCGGTCTCCACATGGGATCCGAACCCTCGGCGGGAGCGCCTCTGCGTTCCCAAGCGTCGCACTCTCCAGTGCGCCACCGGGCCGGCCCTGCACCAGTGATTTTGTTGATGTTCTCTACAGTCTGTCACTTTTCTGGACTATTCCCCTGAGGTAGATCTTAACCCCTTAGTGATAAGAAGTGTAGAACACAGAAAGTTGAATGGTTCATCTTAGAATGTTACAAAATAAGAAACAATCAGATTTTAAGATTTTAGGCTCTCCTGCCTGATTCATTATTTTGAGCTTTTAGTGTGGTTCTGTTTTTGCAGAAATTGGAAAATAAACAGATTTAGGGCTTGACTGTCGTGTATAAATTGTTTTCTGATCATAGGAGAGGCACACTTTCAGTTCCTGTCATTTTTGTTTGACATTTCTCTGTAAATTAGCAGGCATAGTTTTATCCAGTCTTAGACAAATCAAATATAATCCCTGGATATTTTTTTGAAGATATAGCAAAGTACCCATCATTTTTCAGTGTTCATTGAAGTGAAAACTTGTATATGATTATGTGAATGCCTAATAGACTTGAAGTAGAGGCTGTCAAGTTCAAGAATACTTGAAAGATTACATGTGTTTTTCTGTTTTTCTCTACCACATACTTGTAGAATTTGTTTGGAGGGTCAAAAAGTTTTAGTTTTAGTTTAGTAATATAAATTTTAAGTAAATGACTTATTAAAGTTTTAAGATTGCTCAATTTCTACCAAATATGATACATAAGGAGCACTTTTAAGGTAAATATTGTAAAAGTTAGCAAGAAAAAGACATTATTTTCTTTTATTGTGCCCCCTGACCATAACCTCTTTTTCATCTTCTTGTGTGTTTGTTTTTAATTCAATTTTAGAGGACTGCTGAAGTATCAAACTAATTTACATACCCACCCTCCTGGCTGCATCAATCTTAACCGAACCCACTATCAGAATATTTCCTTACCAGAGTATCTCTCAGAACATTTTTATGAACCTTACCCTGGAGGATATTCAAAACCAGAAGAGCTTACCCGGAACGCATTTGTGAAGATTTGTGTAGAAGAGCCCAGGTTCCAAGCCAATTTTCCACAGGTCAGACTTGTGCTTGATCCCTTTGCAGTCTATGCTTCCATATTATTGAATAATATCACATTTAAACGTGTTTTTGAAGCTATAAATTTATGCATACTAGTATATTGCAGGGTGTTTCAACAGCAAGTTAGTATCTATTATCTCATTATAGGCACCTGACAGTTCAAAGCAAAAGACCTATGATATTACAGAAAATAGAAAAATTTTGCTTAACTGACCATATGATCTTTGCATACTACGACACTGGTGCTTGCTACTACAGAGATACAAATATGTTTTTGCTATTCATTGAGAAAACCAGGTTGAGTAATAAAAAAAAAAAGGAGTAAAAGAATTAATACTACTAATAATTATTATACTGTGATATAATATTGAGTTACAGTATTATGTATAAAATTATAAATAATGAATGGTAAAATCAATTTATTAAATTTTTTATATTATCTACTAGGCACTG